GCCACAGGCCAATGGGGTGTTTTAGGGTTTAGGGTTTAGGGTTTAGGGTTTAGGGTTTAGGGTTTAGGGTTCAGGGTTTAGGGTTTAGGGTTTAGGGTTTAGGGGCCAATGGGCTGCAGGGTTAGACCGGGTTCCGAAGTCTGCAGCCGCTGTGCGGCTGCAGAGCGAGCGTGTGCTGTAAGGCTCTAAGTGCTTACGACGTGTGAGGGTAAAAGAAAGAAGGAGCACGCGTACGTTTTTGGTGGTTGGAGATTGTAACCATAAAGGCTTACGAGTCTCTTATTATCTGGATTCATCTTCGGATTCGCCGGAGCATGAATATCAGTTCTGCTGAGAATAGAATCATATTCAGCACGAAAACAGGGCTATATCTCCAGACAACCAGAACTTCCACGATGTAAGCATAAGTGTGGTGTACATATGTTGGCATATATGGTTATGCAAACGTATACCTGCATACCTATATAAATACGTGTATGTATGTGCAAGTACATGTATATATATATATATTCACATGCATGTGTACATGTAGATGTGTGTAACTGAGTAGCCCCAGGATTCCCATGAGACAATTGCGTCTCCCTGAGCCCCGCAACATGCAAAAGGTCGCGTCATCGGCCTCGCCCCAGGAATGGACGCTTGGCTTCGACTCCCTGAACCCTAAACCCTAAACCCTAAACCCTGAACCCTGAACCCTGAACCTTGGGGTTTAGGGTTGAGGGTTTAGGGTTGAGGGTTGAAGGTTTAGGGGAGGGGTTGCTCTAGCTTGGGGGGTTTAGGGTTTAAGGTTTAGGGGAGGGTTGTCCTAGCTTGGGTTAGGGTCCAGTTTGAGGGTTTAGGGAGGGGTTGTTCTATATGAAGGGTTCCCTTCCTTGGCACGGCAATCCGAGCCTGCAAAGGGCACACTACCTTTATTTACAGATTTCGCGGTTTGCAAAAGCCGTGGCCTAGGGCCACGATTGGGAACCTCTAGTTGCGGGTAAGCACATGGCCCGAGGGTCCCTCACTCTTGGCTCTTGGGTTCTGATTCATGGGCTCCGAGGGGGCAGCCCCCTTGGAAACTTCCTCGGCCTTGTTTTGCTGTGTGCCGCAGGGGTTGGGCCGACTTTACACCGGGTGGGTCGAGATAAACCCGGCGCTTGTACCCTGCAAGGGGTCCAGGGTCCTGACAGGAGGAGTTTCTACCAAATCCAACGTTCCCCCAAATATCCCCTGCTGGTCCCTTCAGATGCCAAAAAAAGTTAGGTACATCCCGCAACCTGGCTGGTTTCTGTTATTTAGGGGCGCCATTTTCTGCGGCACTCATTCTAAGACCACTGGCACCACGGCCCTAAACCACCCATCCCCCCACCACCACCTCCTTAGCCTGAACTGGTGGCTTCATGTGAGGATGCCTCCATGATCCTGGGCGGGATGAACGCGCGAGCGCCGCCCGAAGAGCAGCTCCGCCACAGAAGAAGACGGAGGGTTGGCGAATTTGGGGACCCGCGCCCGAGAAGGAGCATGTTCCACTGGTTGCAAGCCCAAAACGATGGCAAGCGCGGTTGCCACTCTTGAGTTTTTCCAAGCTGGTTTGGCATATTTAGGAAGGCAGACAAGGATGGACAGCGGCTGCCATGACGAGGCTCCAGCATCTCTGAACACTGACAACATTGACAAACATCGGCTCAACCATTGAAGTATACAACCTCTCGAAAAAGGTACTTGTAGGAGAAAGAAGAGAGGATCACCAACGGGTTTAGGCTTCCCCAGGTTTCCTCTAAGGACTTCGCAAAAGCCGGGCAGATTTCACAACTGGTTTAGCTGTTCATTGTTTTTTTTCATAGATCGGTCGCGTTATCATACATCATCAAAAATGCAGGTATATGCATACAAAGAAATATCTACATCTATGGTGTGCTTGAAAACGAAGAGGGGGCCGCAGCAGCTCCTCTTTGTATTCGTGCTTTTGCAGCATGAGTTGCCTTTCGGTTCCGAGGCAGAACGCTGAGGACGAAGCTGGCAACCCTTCGCAGGAAGAGTCTGGGGACCTGCAGGGAGCGCCGCCACTCGCGGACGAACTGCCCACCACTGCCGCGGCCGAGCCCTGCGGGGAAGGGGACGATCCCGCGAGGGGTGAAGCTGGGGAAGCTGCCGAAACTGCCAGGGAGGAGCCTGCTTTAGCTGCTGAGCAGGTGGACCCCTGCGACCCTTTGCCAGAAGAGGTTCCAGCTGAAGAGAGCTCAAGGAGCCCTGATCCAGACTGACTGGCAGCAAAACAAAGCGCCAATGTTTCGTTTTTTGTAAGGCGTTCGGGGCTGATGCTTTTGGGGTGTTCAGCTAGAGCGTTCTTAAGAGATTATTCGGGAACCTTGGGTTACATAACCCCCCCTGAACCCCCGGTCCCTTACGAACCCTAAAGTTTGGGGTGTTAGTGCGCTCGAACAAGAACATGAGGAGACATCAAGGCGAGGAGCACCCGTAGAATGTCAGCTTGAACCCTGGGGTGCTGGTTTAGGGTTTAGGACTTTATAAGGGGCTATGTAGGGTTTTGGTGTTTAGGGCTTTAGGGTTTAAGGGTTTAGGGGTTTGGGGGTTATGGGAATTTTGACTGCATAGCCCCGTGAGCTCTAGGACGTTCTACGATGCTCGTGTGGGCTCGAAGTGCCAAGAGGGGAGTGCTGGTGCCTCGAAGAACGAGGGCGAAGCTCGCCTGAAGTCGTGTAGGGTTTTTGGGGTTTGGGGCTTTTGGGGGTTTAGGGCTTTTGGGGGTTTAGGGTTTAGGGTTTTAGGGTTTAGGGTTTTAGGGTTTAGGGTGCGTTCGCAAATATTGGTAGTGTTATGGCATTCATATTGACATGAAGGATCATCATCAGGCATCGTAGTAGACAATAACCTCGCAGTACCACCACCAACAACTGCAATAGATTCAGTGGTTTTGGTGTGTTTCCTTCTATGCCAGGCAGTTCGAAGAGGTGTGTCGTAAACACACACCTAGCTAGTTTGTCAGCAAATGTGAGACTTACAAACTAAGAAAACATATTTCAGAGCGTCGAATTCAGCAATTGCCTACACAAGTGGAAATCTCACTTCTTCAACATACTGGTAATGAACATGACAACGGTATTGGTAGTGTTGGTGACGATGTTGAGGACGATGGTAGACAGAAGAAGACGCTGGTTAATAAGAGGCTTCGGGGACTTGGTCTTTAGGGGCTCTTTGTGTTTAAGGCGTTTCGGCACAGGTCGATGGTTGCAGTGTTAGGGTTTAGGGTTTCGAGGCGGCCGGGGGAAGAGGAGATTTCAAGTCAAGAAGTGTAAAGAGCCCGAAGCTCAAACGATTCCCAAAACCCGCACGCGCTGTGTTTCGCCTGTGTCGACCCTTGAGGAGATTGCCCAGGAGATATCGCTACCGCGCATGGAATCTAGGTCTTGGGTAGTGGGCAAGAACCCTGAAACCACAACCCTACAGCAATGCTAGAATTTACACCCGGGGTTTAGGCCTTCGGGTGCTCCGGAATCCCATAACTCTTGAGGTACAACTTCTTGCTTTGCTGGGCACCCCAAAGACGAAGAGCTGAGGCCATGAACGACATGAGCCTGCCACCACCCCCTCCACCACCGCCGCCGCCAGAGGAGCATGGAGAGGCCCCCATATTTTGTACAGCCTTTTTGGGGGTTGAGGGGGTGGGTGGTTTAGGGTTTCGGGTTTAGGGTTTGGGGTTTAGGGTTTCAGGTTTAGGGTTTGGGGTTTGGGGTTTGGGGTTTAGGGTTTGAGGTTGAGGGTTGAGGGTTGAGGGTTGAGCTGTGGGGCTTAAAGGGTTCACGTGCCTTCTTCGTGGTTTTTGTTGAGGAATCGAGCGGGCAACTAGTATAACTAGGGCCTAAGATTGTTGCCTGGGGGGGGGGGGGGGGTATGTAACCCAAGGCTCCCTAATGCTCCGCACTACTCCCGAAGGCTCCCTAAGCTTCCCTATAAACCCAAAAGCCTAAACCCCCCCCTCCCTTAAGAACCCGATATCTACTTCTATGATGGCACTGCCCTGAAGCAGACGACTGTGGCATAGCCTGCCCAATCTCTTGGCATCTTGCAACCCCGTGTGCCGTATACCTTGGGATGTTCCCCCCTTATACTAACAGGCCTTAAGAGGGACAATTACTATCCCTACTAAGGACTGTTAAGGGGGGAATGTTCCCAACATCTACCCCACATGCTTGATCACAGACACTTGCAGGCTCTTGATGGTAATCCCTTCGGCTCACTCGCCTCGCACTTAGGATATGTGAGACTTGCGCCCAGATGCCGGAGCAGGTTTCGTTTTCAACGGAGGAAGCCAAGGAAGCTTAGGGTGTGTGTGTGTGTGTGTAGTTTTTTGAGCCCTAAGCCCTATAAGCCCTACACTACAACCCCTACTCCCCAAAACCCTTGTGTTTGCTAGGATCCTCCTGGTTGGCAAACTCTCCCGATTGCTTGATGAAATGGGGTATTGGAGAGCCCCCCCCCCCCCCCCCGGGCAACGCAGCGTACTTAGTTGGTGCTGGGTAGAGGAAAAAGGGTATTAGGGGTGGGGTCCCTGTAGAAATATGGGCAGGGTGATATAAGGTACTCAAAGCCCTCAAAATGCCCTGAACCCTAAGCAAGGTACTGTAGAGCCAAAGGACCCCCCAGGGTTGAGGGCTTTGAGGGAGAAAATTTGGCACGTCATACTGCCCTGTGACCAACCCTCGAAGGGATTCTATCTAGAGAACCTAATTCCCGAATGCCAGTGCAGCCATGACTTTGCTGGGGAATGAGAGGAGCATGTGAGGGCTGCCAGTTCAAATTCCTTTACGGGTTAGGCGTGCGGTGGCTTATTTCAGGGACCCTTCCGACGTTCTGATCGGTTGGGGATGTTTATGGGGTACGCTTGGTCAGCTTCAATTTTTTGAGACGAATCTGCACTGCTCCCGAATGGCGCGGTCCTAGGCTCAGAGCAACCGAGGGACCTCCGACTGATTCCCCAGTGCTCGCATTAAAGACGCATGGAGGCCACGATAGATCTCCCGCCTCCCTTCGGCGTCCTTGCTGCCAGTGATGAGTTGAAGGATGCCATGCAGTCTCTGGACTTGGAGTTGGTATGTACGGCAGGGGGATGCCCTCGCATCGACGAGGATGACTACTTCGGATATTCCAGTGAGCCCCCATACGATACCCTCTACACGCTCGTGCGAGATGGGACCGGCGGCTCGTACCACGTGTGGGTGGGCGGTGGTCCCGGAGAAGCTGCAGAAGCTCCGGTGGTCTACATCGGTTCAGAGGGCGAGAGGGCCAAGATTGGCACCACGGCTAAGCAGTTCCTCCAGACAGTGCTGAGCCTGGCGCCACACCATTCAGGCATCATTGGCATGCTGCCCGCCATCAACACCCTTCCAGACAATGGCGACATCGAAGCCGCGACCGAAGCCGACTTCGACTTCCCAAAAGCAATCAGCGCCGTGATGGCATGGAGCCGCGATGAGGACGCGGGTCCAAGTCAGCGCAAGGCAGATGCCGTCCTTGCGGCTGCCGGCATTGCCCGGCTCAGTGTAGAGGATGCCATGAAAGAGCTGCTGTCTTCCCATTTGGCAACCCCTCGGTTCGCCGTTCAAAGTGAGGATTAGGTGACGGGAAGAAGGCTTGCTGCGGGAAGAGGGCGGAAACTCATCCTGTGAGAGGCTGTGGGTAAGAAGTATATGATCTATAGTGTGCAAGAATGAGTGTGAACCAACAGTATACACATGTACAATATGACACAATAAGAGCTGCAATTTTTTAAAACAGCCCCGTGTTGTTTTCTGGAGAAATCTCCAGTTCATCCTTGCGCTTCCCTATCCCTGGCCCATTCGTTCGTCGACTTCCTTCGTGGGACGTGCCACACGCCGGAGCGTTTGCACTGCTGGCACTGCTAGCGACTGCACTGCTAGCACCCTTTCTGCTAGCACCAGCCATGTCGAGAAGAATGGAACGGCGGTGAGCAGAGCCCAAGAGAATCGCCTATTGCTATGGCTATGATGATGATGATGATGATGATGATGATGATGATGATGACTCTTCGAGCTAGTCGCTTAGTAGCTATGTTGCTTCGCAGGCACAATGACCATGTCAATTAAGGGCGGGAAAGGGTCTTCGGTCTTCCGGGTTTTGGGTGTTCGAGTTAGGGGCTTAGGGTCTGCAACATGGCGCCACAGAAGTCCGACACCCATGGAGACCCTAATCCTAAACCCTAAACTCTAAACTCTAAACCCTAACCCTACATCCGAAACCCTAAACCCCAGAGCAACCCTAAGCCCCCCGTGAGCACTCCAAAGTCCCAGGTTCAGCCAGCGCCTTTGATCTTGAGGTGGGTGTAGGGTTTAGGGTGTGAGGGTTTGTTTGGGGGTTTGTATAGGCGTTTAGTGTTTAGGGTTCAGGGTTCAGGGATTCGCCCAGGTTCACTCTTGAGAGATGGGGGAGTGGAGTTGATCGAAACTGCGTGGGCCCGGTTTTTTCCTGGACTTGTCGGCTGGGGCTGGGTCAGTGTGGTGGTAGTGGTGGGGGGGGGGGTTCCCAAAAGTAGAAACCCGAAGTATAAGCCCGACCTGAACTGGGACAGCCAAAATACTTGCCAACGCCATCCTTCTACCATCCTCAGGGTCAGGAATTTAGGGTTTCCGATTCTTGGGGGGGGGGGGGGGGGGGGTTTGGGCTTTTGGGTTTAGGGTGGGCAGGCACGGCAGGCACCACAACTGGTGTTGTTGGAAGCGGCACCGCAAGCTCCGATCGAAGCGACATCCGGAACCTGGCGATCCTACAGCCGTGGACCCTTCTTACAAGGGGTTTGAGGTTGAGGGTTTGGTTTTTGAAGTAATACAGGAGCTGGATCAACTTTGCCGTTATCTCCCTACATTCCGTTGAAATATACAATGCAACTTCCCCAACTGCCCGAAGGCATCTTCTCTTCCTGAATCTTGCAGCAAACTCTCTTCTCAACTGATTTCTTAATTGTAATCGGCAGCCGGGCCGGCCCACAGGAAAGGAGGAAAGAGGCCTCAAACAAACGGGGAGGGGGGGTCCCAGGGAAGGGCCTGGGAGGGTCCCAGGGTGGGTCCGGGGAGTCCTTCCCATGCTCCTCCACGCGATGGGGCGGGGTCCTACAGGGGGGGGGGGGGGGGGGGCATCACAAAATTCGGCACGGGGCCGTGTCTGCTTATTCCAAACGCTTCTCGGAAGCCGAGGCGAATTATTTGTGACACCCGCATGGCGCCCAAACTACCCATTCCAGCGAAGCAAACCCCCCCACATTCCATTCTCCTCACCAAAATCAAACAATGCCTGACCAGAGGGTATCGGGAATGAGGTGCCCATTCTCCCCTCTTTCAGGGCCCTTCCCAAACTGGTCCCAAACCAACAACCCGAAACCTAATCCCGTGAGACGTGCAGGTGCAAAGTGGTTCTTTTGGGCGACTCCGCATCAGGTCCCTCTTCGGTGTGGGGTGGTCTTGCCGCGCCTGAAACCCTAAACCCAAAAGCGGAAGTTTGGGCCTTGGCTCTGGGAGACTCTGGAGCCCTGAGATTTGTGGGAAGTGGTGTTTGCGTTTTAGGGTTTAGGCTTGTGAGGGCTGATCTGAATTCCTTTCGCCTGCACCACGCGGCCGATATGCGGCCTTACACCTACGTGAGGACACAGCCGGCATAAAGGGCCCTTCTACCCTGAAGCCTGAAGGAATGTTACTGCTAGTGAGCCAAAATGTCCACCCAAATGGGGGTTCACGAAAAATAGGGGACCCCCAGTATAAACCCCAAATAGTAGGATCGTCTTAGACAGGGGACCCCAACAAGGTACCCCTATGTTCTTAAACCCCCAGATGATAATTGATCTTTAGGGTTTAGGGTCTAGGGTCTAGGGTTTTGGGTTTAGGGTTTAGGGTAGTTGCGGTCCCTTCCTCTGTCTCGCACTGCTTCATCCCTTCGAGTAATTCGAGGGGCAGTTGCATGGAACATGGTCCCTTACCTCCTGTAAACGGTTCTGATGTATGGGCCCTTGGGATGTATGGGTAGATAAAACCCTAAACCCTAAACCCCAAACCCCAAACCTTTAGACCCACAGAGTAGTTGACCCCGACACGTCCCGACTCCGTTTTGAAGCCAAAAAGAAAAGAGCCCCCTGGAAGGCAAGACCTCCTTGGCACAAGTTTTTCAGGCGGGGCGGAAGGGGGGGGATCCAAGGCCTTGTTGGGCTTAGGGTTTTACAGGTTTTTTTAGGGTTTTGTATGGTTTTAGAGGGTTTTATAGGGTTTTGTAGGGATTTATAGGGTTTGCAGGGTTTACAGGGTTTACAGGGTTTAGCAAGGATCCAACGCCTTTTTGGTGGCTCGGCGATGGTAGGGGGTCATAGGGGTTCCCATCACGATACTACGGTATTCTGCGGATATGTGTGGAATCCCTATCTGGGAAAGATACCTTTGGCAAACTAGGGCCCCTACGGCTAGAGTATAAGCTGCCGAGCATACCTTTCAAACTACCTAGGCCCCGACATTACAAGAATGCACCTGCGCCCAGCCCAAGCGCACCCTAAACCCTAAACCCTAAACCCCAAACCCCAAACCACAAACCCTAAACCCTAAACCCGAGGAGGCTTTTTCATAAACCCTGGGCCTGGCCACGGCCTGAGGATGGTGGATTCCAAAAGGGAGCCGAGCTTAAAGAACCTCCCATTTAGGGTTTAGGTTTTAGGGTTTAGGGTTTAGGGTTTCAAGCCTTGGGCCGACGTCATGTATGCTTCTTTTAAGGCAAGGGTACCCAACAGGGCTGCAGAATCTAGATCCCCTTCAACGGAAGCTCTGAAGCCAGGGGGGCGCGCAAAGCTTTCCGAAGAACTACAACATGACGATCGGCATCGACTTCCTCGTGAAAAGGGTGGGGAGCATGATGGGCTGTTTGTTTGAAAGGGTTGAAGGGTCCTGAGCCCTAACGGGTTTAAGGGGGGCTCAGGGTTTAGGGGAGGCCTTGCTGGGCTTCGGGTTTCGGGGCCTCTGGACCCTGTTCCAAAGCCCACTCGACAGAACCGCCGCAGCTTTCGATCCTGGAACTCGGGTCAGAAGGTTCATCCTGACAGTCACAGCAAAGGTTTAGGACTCCGGATTGAAGGAGGCCCCTTTCTTGGGGGCTGTCTTAGGGGCTTAGAGGTCAGATCGCAGCCCTGCCAGGTGAGTATCCCGGATACCAACGTCGTCGTGGAATTGCGCCCTGAGGGGGGTGGTTGTTGGCTCAACAAGATTTCTGTAGATTTTAGGGGGATTTGTAGGGCTGGCGACTTGTGGGTGCACTGGATGAAAAGGATTTATTCTGTAGTGCTTCAGGGGTTTGTAGGGTTCACAGGCAGGGCCTGTGGGAATTTCATACATTTTGGGCGTTTGGGCTTGTAGGGGGGATACCGGGCAGGTCGTTTTTTCCGGCTTTTTGGTCATGACTCTCCGCCCAAGCCCTCACAATCCCTTGCAGATACATCGTGGACTGCGGCGGCTTCACCGTCTGCCAGGCCTGTGGCTTTTCAGGGGTTTCTTGGGGCTTTCTTTCGGGCCTTTATTCGGGTTTCTTAGGGTTTGTTTAGGGTCCTGATTAGGGTTTGTTTGGGGTTTCTTAGGTTCTTTATTGGGTGTTTATTCGGTTTGCAGGGAAGAAAAGAAGAGCTCTGAGGTCCTAAGCGCCCTGACTCACACCCCCTGCCGCCAGGACGTGCTCAGGCCCCACTGGGAGAACGCTAACGCCGTGATGCTTGCCCGGGCCCAGACACTTCAAAAACCCTTGAGTCTCAGGACTTAGGGCAGCAAGCATTGGGGTTAAGTCTGAGGTGGGCGGTAGCCGTTTTGATGTGTTGGTGTTCTCTCTTCCTGCATCTGCGCTTCCCAGTGATCCGAGACTGCGCCGCCCTCAGCCAGAACCCTCTGTAGTCCCCAGCCCGATGCCTTGTGCTGGTTAGTCCCAAAGTCCCAAAGAGCCTTTATGGACATTGCCCCCAAACCCCCCCCCCCCCCCTAAGTAAACACTCCTGAGGCCCTTACCTCTAATTCTCTGCGCCTCCAAAAAGCCCTAAACCTTATAAACCTTAAACCCTCAACCCTATAACCCCATAAACCTTAAACCCTGAGCCCTGTGCCATTCATGCCAGGGTCTCTCACTAAAAGGGGCCCGAGCGGACACCCCCACCCCCCCGCCCACGCTGGGGTAGAGAGAAGAGGTCTACGACGTCTCGAACCCTGAAAGCTTCGGCCACCTTGAAGACTGGTCACTTGAACAATTTTGGGTGCACTCAAGGTTTTTGGGGGGGTTTAGGGTAGGTTTGGGGTTTAGGGTTTGGGGTTTCGGGTTCGGGGTTCGAGGTTGGGGGTTATACTGGTAGCCGTTTCAAGCACTCTTGTTGGGCTGCAGAGGGCGGGGGGCTTGTAGGGCTTCTTTGTTTTACTGTTGTGTTTTTTTTGTGGGGGGGGGGGGGGGGAGGGGGTTTGGGGGGGGTTGTTGTTGGACGTTGCTGGTTTGGCACGCACAAACCTAGCATCACTCTAATTCTGGCCCTAGACCCTAAACCCTAAACCCTGCACCCTACACCCTACACAACCCCCCAAACCTAGTTTTGTTGGTATAG